CCTTCTGTGTTGATCTCATTGGGAGCTGCAGACCAGAGCTGTTCCTATTCGGCCATCTTGCCAGCCACAACCTACAGAATGCGAGAAATACTTGCAAACTATGCATCCAACAAAGGTTTAATATCCAGAATCTAAAAAGAACTTGAACAAATTAATAAGCAAAAAACAAACAACTTCATTTAAAAAATGGACAAAGGATGCAAATAGGCACTTTTCAAAAGAAGACATACATGTGGCCAACAAGCATATGAAAAATGCTCAACATCACTAATTATGAGACAAATGCAAATCAAAACCACAATGAGATGGTTATCTCACACCAGTCAGAATGGCTATTAAAAGTCAAAAAATAATAATAAATAACAGATGTTGGCGAGGTTGCAGAGAAAAGGGAACATTTATACACTGTTGATGAGAATGCAAATTATTTTGATCATTGTGAATAGCAATTTGGTGATTTCTCAAAAAACTTAGAACTACCATTTGACCCAGCAACCCCGAGATTGTGTGTATGCCCAATCCCTGGCTGAAGCCAGGGAGCCAAGTGGTCTAGCTTAGCAGATCCCACACCCATGGAGCCCAGCAATGCCCAAATTGTTCTGCCATAAAGACACATGTGTGTTGTCATTGCAGCACCATCCCCAATAGCAAAAACATGGAGTCAATCTAAGTGCCCATCAGTGGTAGACTGAATAAAAGAATGTGGTACATATACACCATGGAATACTATGCAGCCATAAAAAAGAATGAGATTATGTCCTTTGCAGCAATATAGATGGAGCTGGAGGCCATTATCTTAAGTGAACTAACACAGAAACAGAAAACCAAATGCTGCATGTTCTCACTTATAAATAGAAGTTAAACACTGAGTACACATTGACACAAAGAATGGAAGAACAGACATGAAGGCCTACTTGCGGGTGGAAGATGGGAGAAAGGTGAAGACTGAAAAACTACCTATTGGGTACTATGCTTATCTGAGTGACAAAATAATCTGTATACCAAACCCTCATGACACACAGTTTACCTATATAACAAACCTGCACATGTACCGTTGAACATAAAATAATAATTAAAAAAATAAAGTTAGAAGAATTCACACATACACACACAAAGTTTTCAAACCTGAACACAATATCTTTATCATACAAACAAATAAAATTATGGGTAATTCTCTAACATCACCTTATATCCAGTCTATATTCACGTTTTTCCAATTGTTCCAAAAATGGCTTTTGTAGCTGATTCATTCAAATCAGAACTCAATCCAAGGATCACATATTGCATTTAGCTGTTATGTCTCTTAAATCCCTTTTAATCCAGAAGAGCCCCCTTATTTCTTTCTTTTTAGGTTAAACATTTTTTGACAAGAATACTTCATAGGTGACACTACCTATTTCATATTGCACCATATGGGGATGCACATGTGGACTCACTATTAGTAATGCTATGTTTGATCACTGTCATTCTCACTATTGAGTAATAGTTGAGATGGGTATAAAAATCTGAATCTGCAACTCTTTTTCTCTCTGCTCTTCAGCCATTGTTTCTTCTGGCCCACACTGATGCTGCTGCAAAATCTGCTGCTGTCATTTAATTGTTGCTCCTTGTAAATGCTTTTCCTTTACTCTTGATAAGTTTTTGAGATTTCCTATCTGTCTTTGCTATTCACTATGATGCACTTAATTGTAGATTAATTTTCATTTACCTCAGGGTTCATTGTGTTTTGAATCTGAGGATTCATACATTTCATTAATTCTGAAAAGTTATCTGCCATCAGCATATACATTTTAGCCATACTCTTATATTCTCTCTATTCCCGGAGACATTATTAGACACACATTAAACCTTCTCATTATATCTTCCATGTTCTCCAACTCTTTTTTTTCCTGTCACTTTATCTCACTGTACATTGTAGGTGCTTTCTTCTGCTCTATCTTGAGGTTCACAGATCCTTTCCTTGGCTCTGTCTCTTATTCTGTTCAACTCATCTATTAGATTTTTAATTTCAGTAACCTTTATTTTTCATTTTCAGAAATTCTACTCGTTTCTTGTTTAACTGTATCTGCTATGTTTTTACATACTGTCACATTTTTTAATTGTAACTTATACTTCTTTTAACTATTTTAAATTTCTTAACAGTCTTAGTTGTCCTGTTACCTCATGTTCTTAGGGTGCTTATATTTTATTTATGTGTTTGTTTTTTTTGCTGACTCTTCTTTATGCTGAATCATGTCCTCATATGGCTTGTAATTGTCTTTTGATTGTGATGTCATCTTCAATAGCCTTTCTTAGATGGTTGCATGGGAGTCTTTTTCACCCTGGAGTGTGGCAGTATTGCTACAGAGGAGTTTTGTCTTTTATGTATAATTTTATGCCTTGTGGAATTCTTATATCATACATATAGTGTAAATTTAGACTCCAAATGGCTTTGATTTCTTATAAAGCACTTTTTATTTACGGCCCAGAGTTTGGGGAAAAGAGAAGAGGATACTTGCCACTATCCTGGACTGATGGCAAAGTTGTGCACTATCCTTTTGCATTCTTACGAGGTATCAACTTTATGCAAAGATCTGTTTCAGCTCTCTTATTTTATGAGGGACCAAGACCATCTTTTCTGACTTCACATCCACACTCAAACTCAAACCCCTAACTACTAAGGCCTATCTATAGTCTTTCTGATAGAAGTCTCAATGCTGCAGCATCAATTCATGAGTTTATTATTCAAACTTCACTTTTAATCTGAGCCTGGCACCTCAGGAGTTTCATTTCTTTCATTTCCAGCCACACTAATTTTTTTATTATTGTATTACTGTAATTCCCTGAACTTTCTAGGCATACTCTTATTGCCTATCTAATTTATTGTCTTCCTGTCTGGGCTGTAAGCATTTTGAGGTCATAATCTATGACAGATTCAACCCCATATTCCCCAAGTTTAACAAAGTTCTTGGCTGATAATGGGTACTCAATAAATGTATTTTTAATGTGTGAATGAATAAATTCAATTGTAGTTGTAAAGTGTAATGTTCTCCTAGACATGAATTTACAATTAGCATTTCCTTTTGTGAACATTTATCATTATTCCACTTTGACCCTTTGTATTGTAGAGCCTGGATTTTGACTTCATATGTTTGCAACTGTTCTTTCTATGTTTTAAAGGAAAACATTTTTCTATATTTTAGAAGAAAACATGTATTATGTACATTCCCTTGCCTTCTTTTATATGTTTTCCTATTATTTGTAGTGTGCCATAATATAACAGTTAATTCCATTTGGTCTAAAAAGTAAATAATAAAAAGTTTTTCTGTCTGTAAAGGAAAAAAATCTGTGAATACGCAGATCTCACAAAATCTCAAGAGCAGGAAATGGAGACCAGCAAGTCTGCTATAAACTGGAACCAGGAATAAATTCAGGAACTGAGGGACTCACTCTATCTGAGGGGCTATATGATATCTTTCATCCAGAACTCTCTGTATGAGCCTTCAGGTTCCCATTGAGAGGATTCCTTCACTTACTGAATATGCATACCCCATCAGAGCCACCCAAGTCCTGAATCTATAAGCCCTTGCAAGTTTCGGTATCAACTACAGATGCGAAGAAGACTGCTCCTTTTGCTTCAAGTTTTGTAGAATCACAGTTTAATTGGCTCAGCATAGCTTATGGAAGACCTACCGACCCTACTCTACTGCCATAAGTCAAGTGACCATTTTTGGTCTAGTCAACTCTGGGGAGGAAGTGTGTTGGATTCCCTGGCCTGCTGCCTACTCAGCAGGGTACAGACATAGGGAGATCCTGTCTAGAATGATTTCCCAGAACATTTATTATACCTGAAACAAGTTGGGGCATGCACACAGGAGCTAGAGGGGTTAATATGGGTTTACAGAATAAATGAGTGATTGAATGAATGAATGGAGATACATATGGGGGTGATTCAGCAAGAATCCCTAAAGGAAAATCAGCCCTTTTCCCAAGCAGCATCAACAAGGCATGACTTCATCTGAATTAAAACATCAACTTAACCTCATCCACTCCTGGGACCCTAAGCACATCCACCCCAACACTTCCAAGCGCCTGTTCTTATAAAGCTAGAATGAGACATAAGTCATAGAATCAGAGACTATTTAAGAGAATAGTACCCTAGAGGCTATTCTGAGGCTTATTTCCTTTTGCTTCATATCTTTGCTATTTGTGTAAATGTCTGTCTCCCCCAATAAATGTTAGATTCCTTGAATGCCAGAAATGTGTCCCACATGACATCTATGTTTCCAAAGCACCAAATATGTTGCCTTGCTCATATAATTGCCTGGATTCAAATCCTAGTCTACCACTACTGGTTGTGTAACTTTAGTCACTATACCTCAGATTCCTCATCTGTAGATAATGAATAATAATAGTACTACCTCATAAAGTTGTCATGAGGATTAAATAGCTAATAGCGGCAAATAATTTAGAACAGTTCCTGGGACAATAGTAAGCTTGTAATCAATGGCAGCCATGCTAATAGGTGTTGTTTTTAGACTGAGTTGACCTTTCAAAGACTCCTGAGACACCTGTTGACTGATCTTTGCATTGGCATTGTTGTTTATCTACCTCATGTGTTCCAGCTGTGACTGTGCAACCTCATGGACCCTACTGGCATCTAGAGGTCACTGTTGAGGACAGAAGCTGTGTCCAGTCAGATTCGAGTTTCAGGCAAAGTTTTGTCACTGGGTCTTGACCCTAGTACACTGTCTTAGGACCGAGGCCCTTTCTCACCTAAGAATGCCCCTTTATGTTGCCTGGAAGCTGTGAAGTCCCCTCTACATAGGCACTTTACACACGTGCACACACACACACACACTCACGGCCTAGAGCACACAACCTGCTGCCTGCCCTTGCTCTTGTCACTCTTGCTGAGTCCTGGTTCCCCAGGACCTCTTTTTCCCTGTTCCCTTCCACCCCTCCAACTTCTCATTAATAATCTTACATCTCTTGATTCTCCTCTCTCTCTGCCTTCCCAGGTGACAAATAACTCCCTTGGTGGAACTTCCTCATGAATAAGAAAGAGGAAAGGACTTTTCTTCCCCCTGCCAAGTTATATGTGTGCACTTTTACAAGAGCTGTGGGAAGATACCCTGCCTTTATCTTATTCAAATGAATGAATCCAATGACGTGCATCTGTCTTAGTTTGTTTCTTCTGGAGTCAGAACCTGAGATCTAGACTTGCGTGCAGGGCGTTCAAGAGGTGATCCCAGGATCCCAAAGAGGGGGGCATGAAGGAGACAAAAAAGAGGGAAAATCCAATACAATAGAAGTGTGTTTTAGGGTTGCTTCCACAGGAATCAGGATTTGACCCTGCTAGGACATCCTGGGAAGTATATAGAATGCTTCTGGACTTGTCCATCTGAAATAAAGGAGGCAAGCACATTTATCCCTGGCTCTTGTCCTGCATTGATTGAAGATTGCCCCTTCAGGTGTTAACCTTGCACTTCTGGGTTGTACTTGTGCATTAGCCAAGGGTGCTATTTCAGCCTGGAGTAGAAAAATGGAAAGACTAGAGGTCTGTACATGAGGTGGAATGCGGCCAGTTGGAGGTGAGCCTGAGCTTCAGCCTCTAGCTGAAGCTTGCCAGAGGATGCAGCTCTGTACACCAGAGTGTCTGAGACCACATTGCAGTCCAGGTAAAACATATGTGAGTACAGGCATCAGAGAAGCTGTGGATAGGGCCCATCCTCTCTGTATAAGAGGCACCTAGCTGAGAACAACAGGAGGGTAGAAATTGTTCCCTTACACCACCACTTCCTTGTCCTTGCTGCCTGTTCTTTCCTGGAGGACAACAGAGGCCTCAGACTGAATAAAACACACCTCCAACCTGTCTGGAGTCCTGAAGCCTGGCTAAGCATGGCAGCAGTAGTGCATAACAGCCCATCTTAAACCAAGTTGCAAAGGTTGGCTGGATTCTGAGCTGAGGCTGTACCACCAACCTCCTGGATTCCAGGGCTGGCTGTGCTTTTGTGTCCATTTTCATCAAAACCAACTCATGGCCTGGTCAGAGGAGCAGCAGAAGAGTCCTAAAGGGTTCCATCTGAAGTGATCATCATTTCTCTTCCTTGGGGGATCTGAGAAACTTTAGGCCAGCCCACCAAGACTCAGAGAGAAGCCCCCTGATCTCTGGAAGATCCTATTTTATCAGTCTGAGAGACCTCAAGCTGGGTGACTGTAAACTGACATGGCTTCTATTTATTTATGAAATTTGTAACTGTGGAAATTAGCCTTAGAAGTTGTAGACCCATTACTATTAGCTTTATCGTCCTCCTAAGACATAGCCCGAGGCATCCTCCAGATTGAATCCTATTGTGCTTTGCAATAAACCCATAATTGATAATGCCACGGAGCTTTAATATGGATGGAGAAATGAAATCTAGAAAGTAAATACATTCAGAATTTTGCTAGCAGGCTGAATTTAAAACTGATTTTCTGAACCTACCAGGATTATTCCTCCTCAGTAATGATTTAATTTGAGTGAGCCACCCTGAGAGCTCTTGGGGGTGTGGGGAGGGAGGACAAGTGTAGCCTGGTTTCTCACAGGGGCCCCTTAAAGAACTTTATCCTGCATTTTGCACCTGTAAGTTTGTGAAGATAAAATTAAACTCTGAAATTATACATGATGGGCCAGTAAATAACACAGGCATCCAGGCCCTGGCTGCTGTTTCAGTGTCCTGATGCAATCACCTGTCACTAACTCTGGTAGCAGAGGGACACTGATTGGGTTCGCTTCCACAAGGCAAGCACTTATGATGTGTTCCTACATGAGGTGGGCAGCAGCAGAGTGGGACAAGTCAGAGAAAGGAAGGCTGTCTTCATAACTCCTGGCCTGGAGAGAACCACTCCGGCTGCAGGTGTTGGGAGAGCCTCCATAGAAGGTGGTCTGTCTGGCTGCCTCTTAGGAGAATGGAGCCCTGAGAAAATCCATTTCGCTTGACTCCTAATAGACTTGCAGGAAGACAGGAGAGGAGAGTCCAGATTGCCACCCTCTCTTGATCACCAGCCATCAAAAAGAGGGTTAGCAATCAGCTATCCACTGGATGGGATTGTGTGGATCAAAGTTTGAATTCTGGAGCCAGAGTGCTTAGGCTCAAGTACTAGCTTTATCACTTGCTAATGGTGTGAACTTGGAACAATTGTGTAACCTCTCTGGGCATCAGTTTCTTGAATTGTAAAAGTGGAATGTGGACAACTCAGTTGCCCAGGAAGCCAATCCTAAGATGGAGACTGGCATGCAGGAAGGTTATTAGGACACACTCTCCAGACCAACACTTGTGAAAGGGTAGGAAGCAATGCGGGTCAAGGGAGAACTACAGATGTAAAGGAATCACATCAATGAACGCCTCAGCAGACCTCCCTCTTGGGGGAATCTGACATTGAGATGATCCAGGGTTCGGGTGCAGAGTTGGGCCTTTATACTCCTGTATTGATCAGTAATTGCATGAGGGTTGCTGACTCTTTTGAAATCAGGCATTCCTGAAGAGACTACAGATAGCTTAGGGCCATCTGTAGACAGCCATCCCAGCAAGAAGGTGGGGAGAGGAACAGAGAAAAAGAAATTCTTGTTCATGAAGAGGTTGAGGGAGTTGGGGGAGGCATACAGTTTCCACTGCAGACCATAAATACAGGAACCAACTACACAAACTTAGGTGGCTTAATATGCATACAATGTTGATGACAGCAGTGTCTGGAACAAAGTAGGTGCTATGGAAGGAAGTGTTAGCTGTTTCTATTATTAAGTGCTCAGCCCTCTTCCCATTTAAAGAACCCAGACAATCGGCTATAACAGTGTGGGCAATTTTATGGGGAGTGTGCATAAGAGTATAAGAGGAAACCTTAAGGAGTGGCAAGCTTTTCTTCTGGGTTTAGCTGGCCTACATTTATTCCCAGCACTCATTGTGAGGAGAAGCAGGCTCTGTATGTGGGGGGACACTGCTAACAGAGATGACATGCTTCTTTCCTTTACTAGTTCTGGGTAAAACAATGAAACAGGCCAAGGTGACGTATTCATTTGTGTAGGCTGCCATAACAAAGTACCACAGGCTGGGTGGTTTAAGCAACAGAAATGCATTTCCTCACAATTCAATGGGGTGGAAGTCCAAGATCAAGGTGATGGCAGAGTTGTTTTTTTCTGAGGCCTCTCTCCTTGCCTTGTGGAGGGCTGCCCTTCACTGTGCATCCTGTGTCTTGCATGTGTACTCCTGGTGTCTCACTCTGTGTCCAAATTTCCACTTCTTATAAGGACATCAGCCCTATTGGATAAAGGACCTACCCTAATAGCCTCATTTAATTTAATCATATCATTAAAGGCCTTGTGGCCAAATACAGTCACATTCTGAAGTACTAGGGATTAAGGCTTCAACATGTGAATTTGGTAGAGGGGAACACAGTTATTCCCCTATTTCCTCATTTGGGGTCTGCTCACCCACTCCAGCTGCACTTCCTTACCTCAATCCACTCCTCTACTCCTCCCCCGCCCCCACCACCAAATGTTCATCTGGCTGTGCTCTAACCCTGCTAGCTTCCTTTGTCCTGCCTATCAATGCTTACCTGTTTATTGTCCCATTTCCTCAGAGGTATGCTGGATGCCTAGTTTGCTTGTGACTGAAAACCAAATTATGCTAAGGTATAAATGGCTGAGTACACTAACTTGGATTTTAATTGTATTTTTACAATAAAGATACTTCTTGTGGTGATAATTTCATGGGGTGTGGATGACTTTTATTGACGGGTGAATGGTAAGACATTTTGGAGCTGGTGTCAGGTTTGGACTTATTGGCTAAATCACACTGAGATTTTGTCATATAGTCCTGGGCTTCACATAGTTAAAGGTGCACAGGAATCCCCTTGGGATCTTGTTAAAATTCAGATTCTGATTCAAGAGGTCTGGGTGGAGCCTGACATTCTGCATTTCTAACCAGCTCCCAGTTGCTGCTGATGTTGGTGGTCCAGGTGCCACACTTTGAGAAGCAAAGGCCTAGACCACATGTTTGTAATTTGGGGTGTCCCCTGTGGCTCTGCCCTCAGTGGCTACAACTGCTCTGGCTTTGGGTCATGAGGGTCCATCTCACAATGCTGAGGGAGGTTTCTGGAGAGAAGGGACCTCAGAGGTCTCCACGTCTGTGAATCCAGTCCACATTCTTCTCCTTCAGTGCAGTCTTGGGTAGGGAGGAAGGGTGAATTTGGGCAGAAGGAAGCAATGGCACAGGAAAAAAGACAGGATCTCTCAGTTGAGGAGGCTGTAGATAATATTTAATGATAAAGTAACCAGTATTTCAAAGGAAGGAGACTATGGAAGCTTCCACAAACCACGTGGACCAAAAGCAGGTGTAGACCCAGGGGAGCCATGTATCTACAAGCCACAGTGGCAGATCTGGAATTGTGGGAAGAACTGGGGGTCTGGGAGAGCTGGCCAACAATTACCAGAAATAGGCCAGTGGTCTGGGCAATGTGGGTGGGCCAGCAGAATTTCAGGACCATGAGGAGACAAACATGCCCCTCATGATCATCACATTTGGAAGGATTTTGCAACTTAGCTATAATTATTGTATAATAATTCACTCATTTCCAGTTTTTAAAATAAAAGGAAATATAGTTATAAAACAGGGCTTCTGATTAGCGTAATCTAAAGTTTGCCCATGTTTATTTCAGCGAAGATGTATGCAACGCCAAAGCAAAGGTATTTGACTTGTGAGTTGCCTGGTGGGCTTCTCAAAGACAAACACATGGTTCCCCATCTGGATTTTGGAAATACAACAGTAGATGCCTTCCCATTACTTATCTCCTTTGTATCCTGGGTCAAGGGATGTCAAGCTAGCCAAAGTGACTTAGCACAAGACTTATTTTGGAGATGACCAAGTTTGTGCTCAGAAAAGGTAAAAAAGGACCCTTGGTCTCTGTTGAAAAAGAAGAACAAAGCGGTGGCATGCTAGGCAGGATGAAGGGCAGGCCAGATCTCTCCCCTGAACCAAACAAGGAACAGTTATTAAAGCCCTCTGTTTCTAAACGTCAAAGGAAGTTGAGAAGACATGAGTTCCACTAAATAAGTCTTGATTAAGCCTCTGTTTTGAGGAAGGCAAAAACTGTGGTTGACTCTGGAAGATAGGGATGACCAGCACAGGTTTCTGCCCCAAGAGCCCTAAGTGTGAGTTAGGTTGGCAAGGTGGACTTGAGTTGACATTGAGCCCACCCTGAACCACATGACTTCAGGACACATAACTCTTTGATAAGGCTTTTTTATTTCCTCTAAGATTTTTCTTGATATCAACCCAAAATTCCACTCTCCACTCATGCATTCACTCACCCACCACTTATCTTTCGTCCATCCACTGTCTTACAACCACTCCTATATCCAATCCACCTATTCACTACCCATCTACCTATTGGTCCACCCACTTGCCTCCCATTCTATATCTATGCATCCACTGACCATCCATCCAATCACATGCCCTCTACCTGACTATCAGCCACCACCTATTCATTTTTCCTTCTATCCACCATCCACCTAGACATTCATTCACAAACCCACCCATCTCCCAACTACTTAAGTATCCTACCCACCACCTCTCCATTCACTCATCCTTCCACCCACACACCACCCTCCCAGAATCCGTTCATCCATTTACATATCTATCTGATTCTTTACTCATTCAACATTTATTGAGAGATAAAGTGGCAAGTAAGTCTCACTTTATATCCTCTGGACATTCACACTTTAGCATATAAAGATAATAGCATTTGATAAAAACTTTACCAGGGAAATAGAATAGGAAGAATTAATGATGAACTGACTGGTAGCATCAAAAAATGGTGCCTAGATGAGACAGCATTTGAGCTGAGCTTGGAAGATACTATGTATTTCACCAGTCATTCCTGGCAGAGGAAACAGCCTAAACAAGGATTTTCAGGTGTGAAGAAACACTCTGAAGTTTGAGGAATGGTTGTAAACAGCTGATACTTAAGATGGTGGAAATGGGAAAAAGGCTGGTAGGAGATAAAGTTGGATAGATTATCTGGGAACAGTCTTGAGAAAGATTTTGCATCCCATGCTATGGAGGTCGAACTTTATTCCAAAAAGCCAGAGGCATCCAAGTGCCATGACCATGATTTGTACTACAGAATAATCTCTGGTGATAATCATTAAGCTGAAAGAGAGGAAAGAAACAAGAGACAGAAGAACCAGTTAGAAGACGATTTCATTATTCTAA